TGCAAAAAATAATTTAAATTTCATACTTTCGATATATAAAGTAAAAGATTAAGAACAATGCACGTTGACCGAAGAATAGTGTACGAGAACCTTTAAATGGGACGGAGGGAGTAATATTCATAATATTTATATTACATCCCGTGCAACGCACGGGTGGAATACTAGTCAGAATGAGGCGTTTAGCAAGTTTGTATTACAAAACGCTCCAGGGAATAATCAAGTAATTGTTCCAAGCATTCAAAAAGATACTGCCAACTGTTTTGCACAAGAAGTAGTGCATTCTATCATTACAGATATTGGTGATGATGTGTTTGCATGCTTGTTGATGAGTCTAGTGATGTTTCTTACAAAGAGCAAATGGTTGTGGTTTTGCGTTACGTTGATAAATGCGGCTTGGTTAAAGAAAGATTTATTTGTGTTGTTCATGTTAAAGAAACATCTTCTTTATCTCTTAAATCTGTTATTGATTGTGTTTTTTCTGAATATGGGTTGAGTTTGAAAAATGTTAGAGGCCAAGGCTACGATGGTGCAAGTAATATGCAAGGTGAATTCAATGGTCTCAGAGCTTTAAATCTCTTAAATGCGTTATTGATTATGTCTATTGTTTTGCTCAGAAACTACAACTAGTTGTTGTGGCAGTTTCAAAAAAACACTTTGAAGTTGGAGATTTCTTTGATATGATATCACTATTATTGAATGTGGTTGGAGCATCTTGTAAGAAACGAGGCATGATTCGAGAAAGCCACCAAGAAAAAGTGAAGCAAGCTATAAGCAATGGCGAAATTAGCACGGGAACAGGTTTGAATCAGGAACTTGCATTTCAAAGACCGGAAAACACGGGTTGGGGTTCTCGCTACAGAACACTTAAGAATTTGGTTGAATTGTTTCCATATGTTGTTGAGGTGCTTGAATATGTCGAAATTGAAGGCATTGATAGTGTAAAAAGACGCCAAGCAAACGGCCTTTTAAAATACTTTCAATCCTTTGATTTTGTCTTCTATTTACAATTGATGTTGCTTATTTTGGGACTCACAAACTCTTTGTCAGTGGCTCTTCAAAGGAAAGAACAAGATATACTCAATGTTATGTCACTAGTAGAAACAATGAAGCGGAATTTGTTAAAAGTTAGAGTTGATGGGTGAGGTTCTCATTTGGGAAAGATCTCTTCATTTTGTGTGAAGTATGAAATTTCAATGCTTGATATGGAAGCAAACTTTGTTAACCCCAGGCGGCCACGACAAAGAACTAATATTATCAATCGGCATCATTATCAGTTTGAGTGTTTTAATACTCTTATGGATTTGCAAATTAAAGAATTTGATGATCGATTTGATGAGGTAAATTCTGAATTGCTTACTTGCATTGCTTCTTTGAGTGCAATTAATTCTTTTCGTGAGTTTGATCCATTGAAATTGATGAGGTTTGCCGAGGATTTTAGTTGTGTTGAACAGAGAAGTCTTGAGCATGAGCTTAGTGTTTACATTGATAATCTCCTAGCGGATCAAAGGTGAAAGGTTTGGTAACTTGAAAAGTCTTGGTGATCTTGCTTAAGTGATGGTGAACACAAGAAAACATCTTTCACACCCTTTGGTATATAAGCTTTTAAAGCTAGCTTTGACTTTGCTGGTCACCAGTGCAGTTGTTGAGAGATGCTTTTCTGCTATGAAGATAGTGAAGACTAATTTGCGTGACAGAATTGGAGATCAATTTTTGAGTGACCGTTTAGTTTTTTTTTTTTTTTTTTAAATAAGGAAATTTTATTAAAAGGAATCTCGAGAGTACAATAAAGCTAAGAAAAGAAAATAAAGCTAAGAAAAGAAAATAAAGTAAATAAAAACGAACAAATAAGAGAGATGCCCAACCCAGAGTAAGAAAAAAAACCCTCCTTAAAAACCCGGTGTAAAAAACCACAACCCTCAGAATAGTCTTCAAAGACCCGCTCGTGCTTGAGATCTTGTCCTCATAAGATGTGATCTCTGATTCTTCTTTTTGTACATTCTCTTTTGAGTATTCAAGTTTTGAGGGGTAAACAATTTTCTCGTGTAACAAGCAATGCTTTTTGACAAATAACCTCATTTGCATCATAGTCCCAAAGATCACTCACCGTCGAAATAGGAACCCTCTTCTCATTTTCTGAGACATGACCAAGGAATTCATCACCTGAAAGAGTAGAGCATGATTCTCCAAAAGCCTTTTCGAACTCATCATTGCCAGTGAAACCTGTATTTGCATAGTCCCAATCAGAAACCGCAAGATCACTTAAAGCATTGTAATACCCTCCTTTCTCATTCTTATCAACATGCTCCGAATTCTTCTGTGTCCTAGAAGATTTCCCTTCAATAGTGGCTTTCAATCTCAAACTGTCAAGGTTATCCAAAGTAGAGACGAGAAGTCTCTCAAATTCACGGAGTAGAAAATGAGAGAGTGACCGTTTAGTTTGTTTTATAGAAAGAGATGTATTTGAAACAGTCACAAATGAAACTGTACTAGATCTCTTTCAAAAAATGAAAACTCGAAGAGAGAAATTGTGATTTACTTTATTTGTGTTTTTTACATAGTAATATACTTTATTTCATTTTAATGTTCTCATCTCTTTTGTTGCAACTATTTGATATTCAGAGATATTTTATGAAGTATTTTTTACTTTATACTGTTTTATGCACGTCATCTTGCTCTGCCCCCAACACTTTCATTTCCTGGATCCGCCACTGATAATTGATAGTGGGGCTACACATAATCTTACTTCGGTCGACCTTGTTAATCTCTCCCTGTGTACTCCATATCCTAACATTGATTTAAGTCATTGTTGGAAATGGTAGTAATCTTTGTATTAATTTTATGGTTTTGGTATCCTATCCTCTCCTACTAGTCCATTTTATCTTAATAGTCTTTTATGTGTCCCATATATTTATAAAAGTTTTATTTTTTCAATGGTCATAATAATGTCTTCACTGAATTCTTACCCTCTTTTTGTATCATGGAACTATCTACAGGAGAACCGGTCCTACAAGGTCAAGCTAAAAATGGTCTCTATGAATGACCCTCTAAATCTCGTCTACATATCCATGCTTTCTCCAATGTTCGTGTCTATCCGGATCAATGACACTCTCACCTTGCTCATCCATCTTTAGCAATGTTTAGTCATATTTTATCCAAACTACAATTAAACCGTGTTTCTTCCCTATTGTTTGATTGTGATTCATGTTAATGTAATAATAGTTGTACACTCTCATTCTCTAGTTCATCAATAAAATCTTTTCATATATTGGATAGAATTTTTTCTGATGTTTAGATCTCTCTAGTGATCTCCTTTAATGGTTTTAAACTAGCCTTCCACCCGTGCGTTGCACGGGGTGTAAAATGAAGAAATTATAAATGTCAACATATAAACTAAATTATGTGTCATATTATTTTCAAATATTACATCTTAGTGACTAAATTTATACTCGTAGCCACTTTAGTCACATTTTTATCCGTGCTTATTATTTTAGTTATATTTTAGGGGGGAAATCGACCTAAAAACTTTGAGTGAATATATTTATGTTCAAATATCACATCTAAACATTGTAAAGTATTAGAACTTTAGAAGTTTGATAAGCACACACTTTAAACAATATTGAATTTCTCCTTGGAGATGACATTTGTTGCAGTTTTTTGGATACCCCTCATTGTTGCATATCACAAACTTCAAGCCAGTCCGACTTGTCACTTCAAAGATGGTGATAATGATAATAACAATAATAATGGTATAATAACAATGATTAAAAAAAGGTCTATTAATATCATTATTATTATGATTATTATTATGATTATTATTGTTGTTATTATTATTATTATTATTAAGATTTACAATTAAAATATTTACACATTAATTTCACAGATATTCCTGATATTTTTTAAATTAGCAAAAACAAAGTAAAAACCCTAACTTATTTGGCTCCAATAACATCGGCTACCATCCCAAAGAAACAGTAAATAATAAATGGTTTGGATTGCAAGTTGGAGGAGCCCGTACCACCCGTGGATGAAAACCTCTCCACATTTTATAAAGTTCATAGCTTCAAACAAATATACCTCTAGGGCTATTGTGGAAACAAATGCCCCTTCTATACTTAAATTGTCATTTTAGAGAGACAAATATGCTCTCAGATATGTGTGGCTCTCAAATATTAAGGACATTTTTAATTAAACTGGAATTTTATAGTATGATTTGGTCTGATCTGTTTAACTCTGATCTGCCCTAAATTGGTTTGGTAGATGTCTAATCTTTGCGTATTTTACAACTGTCAAAGTTTGATTTGTTTAAATCTAATCTTAGGATGAAATCAATCCAAATAAAAACATCTTAAGAGAGCATTGATATCTCATTTTCTCATTTTTCTCTTCTCCGACCCTCTTTAAATGATCCATAGTATTTCATACGGAGTATATATTTTTTCAAGTTGAGAAGTTCATTGGTTGTTCCTTGAGTGGTATTGCTAGGGTCATGAGAAAGACCTTGTATTCTACTTGTCCATCATATTTTAATAGATTGTAGCATGCAAGTGTATAAACTTGGAGAAAAATGTTACTCTTTTTATCCATTCTCCATTTCTCCTTGTAAGTGTTATAGTCTCGAAAGGGGGAAAGGACCCAAAAGGCAAGATCTTTTAACATATTCCCCAATGAAGATAGATAGAATAATCATTACATGCTACTATGTACTAAGTACTAACAATTGGGCAGCCTCCTAAACCCCAAAAAAATGACAATAAAAACAGGAAAAGTGAGCTATCAAACTAAAAAATGAAGCATGAGACAAAGAACTTAAACTCAGCTATAGTAGAAATTAAAGTAGGTAAACTTTTTTAAAGCACCATAGTATGATGACTATAGCTCATGTATATTATAAATGAATTATAGAAAATCCTTCTAAGGACTTTTATATTATGCACATTCATAATGCAACCTAATATCAACGACATCTGGTTAATGCACTTATATTCAAAAATACCACAGAATACTGAAAGTTAATATAACATAATATAATAAATATATTACATCAAGATTCAAGAATATTGAAGCATAATACAACATTACAACATGTGCAGACTGTTTAAGTTAAAAATAACACCTACTTTTAGTGCATTCTATTTTTTATTTTATTTTTTAGGTATGAAGTCCACATTAATACTTAAAATAGTAAGTTTAACTCTTTTCCATCCAAACAAATGTCATTCAAAGAGAGGTCAACCACATGTAATTTTTCTTTCTCCTAAGAAACCATTGCTCTGCTATTTCACTTCTTGGAGGTTTTCTTTTTAGAAGTGCTAGAAGAATTAGCAGCAACCTGTAAAGCTTTGGGATGCTTTTCAGCTTCAATCAAATCCAGACATCCAGTCACTTGAGGTGGTGACGGTTAAAACGGGCCAGTTTGGAGTGGTAATGAGCATGTGAGCACAATGTTACCTCCATAAATGAAGACATCATCTGGAATGAGCCCAACACATATCCTGTGAATAGGCCACAATTGCAGATGAAACAAACAATATATGCATGAGTTTTGTTAGGGGTACACAAAATGTGCACACAAAATGTGACAGAAAAAATCTGTCCTTCACAAAAAAATTGTCCGTCACAGACAACTCATTTTGAATTGTCTGTGACAGAAAAAATTTCTGTGAAAGACATACATGTGTACACATTTTGTGTACCTCAAGCATTTTTCTATCTGCATCAGTTGCTCAGCTACCTTTTGCCCTCTTGCCAATCCGTTTGAATATGGAAGGAGGGTGAATTGTCAAAAATAACTGAGAGCAATAAGACTATGGGAGGCGTTTGTCCATCTATTTTCAGTGCATACTAAGCAACATCGAATTATTAAAGGTGTTAGTATTCTTAGATGCTAAGTTGCAATATAAACAATGTGAAATAAGGCATAAAGAATCTGAACCTTTGAAAAAGGGTCATTTTCTTCTTCTATTACATGTGCCGCTGCCGCAAATAAAAAAGGATCTGTAAACTTACTAAGTTCTTTTGAAAAGGGTCACTTTCTCCTTCTATTCACCGAGTTTCAGTTACTTGAGGCTTCTTTAAATGTATCGGGACCTGAACCCCCTCGTTCCCCAGCAAGGGAATACAACTTCTCTGCAAGGTTGTTTACCTGAAACTTTCTTGAAGCATATATAAGGCAACAAAATAACACACTCATTTTTTATGCCTCAAACTATAGCTTGAGGAAGTGTGGTTCTCATAATTCTTTGTGTGAAAAAAGCTATAGATGTATTAAATTGATTTTAGATCTAATCATATGTAATATTAGATATATCATAAATTCATTATTCTAGATTCCCCGTCAAAGTTGACTCTAATTTGGTTTATCATATTATTCACTAATTTGGTTAATCAATAAAATATTGGGAAATTTCTATTGATTGATATAAAATAAAAGTAGAGTGAATAGTTAAGATCTTACCTTCGCAATCACACACTATTGCTTTGATATTTTACCTTAGCAATCACAGTTACCTCACAATGTCCTGAAACTAAATATCACATAAGGGAAAATGTCATGGTTTCACCAAGTCTGTCATAAATGTACGCAACTTCATACTTGCATCATTTTAATTCAATAAGTTTCCAACCAGGATCTATTGAAAAAAAATGAAAAAAAAAAAGATATTTTCAAAAGAGAGGATTTTGTGAGCCAAACTGGCCTTCAATCCAATCATCTAAAAAAAGCAAGGCTAAAGCTAATAGTCCGCAGCTCAACCTTATGCTTTTACAATACTAAAACAGAGTTTTAAGCTTAATCTACAATCCAGCACCAACACGTTTTCATTGGATAATTGAATTCTTATTATGTTTCCCCTAATCTGCTTTCATGACTTTGGCTGAGCAATGTTCAAAACATATGTCCAATACCATATGATTTTAATGTTCTAATTCAACCTAAAGCTTTTTTTACTACGCATGATAGATGAAATTGTTTTCACTGGACTCTGAATTTTTTACTACGTGTGATAGATGAAATCTGTGAAGAAAGCTTTTCATGTCTATCAGAAGCAAGAACACAGTATGTTCCCATAATCACCTGATTTGATGAAATTGTAGACACGAGGAAGCTTTTCTCAACAAAAATCTTTTAATCTAAAAATTCAATCTCTTCTATGAAAGACCACAATAGATGATGAAAAACCTAGCTTAGACATCCATATTGACGAAAACTGAACAAACTGGTTAAAGATAATTTTGTAGATGAAGCATGTCAATTAAATTTACCCCCAACAACCGAGTAGAGGGAAGATAGTAAATTAAGTTAAAGCTTCGTAGAAAAGTGAATGAGAAAAAGTGAAAAACCTAGATGGAGATGGCGATAGACCAGGTTGAAGGTGAAGTAGGCGCCGCTGGTGCTGAAATCCATATATATTATCAATGGTCTCCATCGTTGGAAAGAGACGATGGAGGTCGGGAAATTGATATGAAGGCCGAATGGATAAGAGAGAAGATGGAAAGGGGATGCAAAGCTCCCTTAATCCCAAATTTTCACTGCAGGTAACGTCAAATTGAGAAGGAAACTGAAGAAACGGAAGAATAAAGAAAGGAGAAAAACGGCTGGTTTGATTAGGAGTATAATTTCGCGATGTATCAAACATTTTATTTGAAAGAGAGAGGCGGGAAAACTTTGGGGGAAGGATTCTTCCTTTACTCACCAATTCACCATATACATTTGCATTACACTATGAAAAAGAAGTTTGATATCTACTCCATATTTCTCATTTCTCATTTTTCCTAAACTGGTGGCAAATAAATTTCATTTCAAAAAATTAAAACATTATTTTGACAATGGTGGAAAAATTAAATTATTCACCCCTCACGTAGCTCAAATCAGCATATATCATCTCACCTCCCAAGACTATAACCCTGAACATGCTAGTTATGTTGAACAATGGAAAAATGATCATTCTCCGGTGCAACTATCAGTGACATTAATTAGCCTTAAAAATGGAATTTGTTTCTTTGGATGACATTGAGTGCACTGTTATTTGACTTATCAGGCTTATCAGTCAACTTTTTCACCAAACACGTAACTTTTGATTTCGCGCGCTTAAATGTGTAACAATAAGAAAAAAGTAAGGTTGGAGTTACTTTTCTATCTGTTTTGGCTGAAGTTACTATAGAGGACCATTTTAGCTATTTTTACATATAATTTTTTCTTTATTTTATTAATAAAATATATTTTAAATTTAATTTTTTCATAAATCAACAGAATTAGCCAATACAGCCACTTAAGCCAGAACTTCATAAATTCCAGCAAGATCAGCCGATTAAGCCGATTTCAGTGGCGTGCTAATGCAAATATATTCATAAAGATCTATGCAGCTAACATAACATCATCACGTGTAATACAACTTTTGAGCAGTGAAGTAGCTAGACCCATTTTTTATGCCTGACCCACACTTGACCCGGAAGTTTGGGCGGGAAAGTTGTCAAGAAGTCCACTTCACTTTGTATATACTATTGTATCTTTTTTGAAAACAATATACTATCATATCTTATTATCTTAATCTTAACCTATCTTATAAAGGACAGTTTTTCATATTAAATGCTCTTTCATGCTTTATCATATTGTACACTATGTCCTTGGGGTTGTACCGATACTACTAAGTTATCTTAACCTATCTTATAAAGGACAGTTTTTCATATTAAATGCTCTTTCATGCTTTATCATATTGTACACTATGTCCTTGGGGTTGTACCGATACTACTAAGTTAAGACTAAGTTAAGTTATACTCCAGGTAATGCTAAAGGTGTTATGTTTTTCTTATAACGGTGTGATACAGTGGCGGAACCAGGGGTGGGCGAGCCGGTGCCGGCGCCACCCTTCGCCGGAAGAATCTAGGTAGATATATATGATATTTTGGCTGGCGCCCCTGTCCCCGAAAGTGCTGAATGTTTCGTCTTCTCCGGTATCCCTGTGGTAACATACTGTCTGCTTCGCAACTAGTTTTTGTTTTAAAATTTTGACTTATTTATACGACACCGTTCTTTTGAATGGAACGACACCGTTCTTTTAAATGAAACGAAAAGGCACACTTAATTGAAACGACACCCAATGTGAACTAAACGACAGGATAGTCAGATGCTACTTAGGTTATTCTACTCCGTGTTTGCTTATTTGCCGAAGAGCAATTCGCCAATTCCGCCGCCCTACGTCGCTTGATTGCGCTCGTTGAAGAAGTAGAAGGCCCAAAAGCCGTGACTTATGTCTCATGAAGAAGGTGGGTCTGTCAGTTTGTGAAGATAAGTTTCCTTGTACCACGTATTAGTTTTGTAGTTTTATTCTTTTACGGAGTACTATTTTTCTTTATGTAATTTTATAATCTTATAAGGCTTAAATACGTTTTTAGTCCCTGCAAATATGACACATTTTGGTTTAAGTCCCTTCAAAATATTTTTCTTGTTTTTCATCCCTGCAATATACACTATTTTGCTTTTAGTCCATCTCCAATTCTGAAACTACTCTAATTACAACAAAAGTTATTGTGAGTTATATAAATCTAGTAAAAATATGTAGATTTGGCCTTTTATAATTTTTTTGAGGCTAATATGAGAGTTAAAATAATTTAAAACTAAGTATTCATATTTTGAAAATATATATTAAAAACTTTCTAAAAAATAAAATAAAATACTTTTTAAATAACATGACAAAGAATTAGAGGGAATGTATTAATCGGGGTTATTTTGAAGTCAAACAGAGATTGTTATCACCAATGATGGACTAAAAAGAAAACCTACGTAATTGCAGGGACGAAAAATAAAAAAATAATTTTGCAGGGATGTAAAACAAAATGTACTATAATTGCAGGGACTAAACACATATTTAAACCATTTTATAATTGTGTATGCATCAATTTATGAATATGTTTTTTCGTGTATTAGGTCTAAGTATTAGGTGAATTTATGAATTTGATTATATATGCACGGGCAGTACAACAACTTTGTAAATTTGTAATGATTTCTGAATTATTAGGATATATGCTACTCTTACAATTTATGTTATATATATACGGAGCACATGGTATATATTTACTAGTGCTTAAAAATAAATTCAGGTTATGTAATTATTATACGATTTTGTTGTAGTATAATTTGTTAGGTTAACACTTGACCATGTTAAAATTCCTAATATAGATTGAAGAGTCTTCAAACACTTCTAGTGAAGACAATAATAGGGCAAAACAATCCCGCGTTGAATTTATTTCCCGGGGTAGAGTTCGCTATTTAGATGTAGACATTAAGTTTTCTAACAGTCATACGCACTATGTGTTTATTTTCATATACTAGTCGTGCTTTGTATACACATTTAGGGATGTGCACCTCAATTTTACACGCCTAACAGACAATTTCGTACAATTTTTAGAAAAAAATCTAATTTATTTCACGAATTGCTTATGTACACATACAGTTAGAGAGGTATATACAATAAACATGTAAACTAGCGTCTATAATAAGAATTTTATGATATATTTGTCGCCTTTTCACTTTTCAGCACCTGCTCAAATAAAGTTCTTGTTGAGTCACTGGTGTGATACCCCTATAAGATACACCCTGAGCAAATTCATACTCCGTAAACAATAGCACCCCTTCCGATCTTCGGCTTATCCGCTAAACTTTTGCTAAAAAGCAATCTTGAAAACAGAGAGCTCCTCCAATCCAGGCGGTCTTCCTCCAGGCAGCAGCAGCAGTGTCACGACGGCAACGATCAGCAGCAGCAGCTTGGTCCGGCAACGATAATTATTGTTTCAGCAAGGTTTGCCGATACGGAGTGCGGCCGACTGCCAGACTAAGGTATGGGTGATACAGCCCCGGTTTTTCTTTTCACAGCCTCTTTGTTTATACAGCCTCTCTGTTTTTGCCCGTGTAGATTTGTCCCTAACATCTTCGTCGCTCTGCAATATGCAGCAGTCGACATCTCGAACCACAATAATGGAGCAAATGACCGCCTAATATTTGAACTGATTTAGTAAATTACTCATAAAATACAAGTTCATACAGTTTATATAAGGATTATTAGCTAAATATATGCTCAACTATCATCAAATTCACAAATCTATCCCATACTTTCACTTTTAATAAAAAAAGACTCAAACTTCAACTTTTTTCACAATTACACTTTCAATAGATGAATTAGGAAAACTTAAGAAGAAAATCATATTTATATTTCATATTTTTTCACTTCTTTCTAGTTTTAAATTTACAAACTTGTATTTATAAAAATGTGTAATTTTGAAAAAACAAAAAAAGAAAAGCATAATTGTTGAAAAAGATGAAGGTTTAGTCTTTTTTTTTTATAAAAGCGAAAGAATAGGATAGATTTGTGAGTTCCCGAGTTTGATGATAGTTTGGGATAAAATAAGCTAATAATCCTTTATATAATTTGGTTCCCTCTTTCATCAGTATTTTTAGAAAGTCAAACTCAGCTTTCATCTTATATGCATTTTCTTGCATATGCATTTATTTTACAATTATGATTTTTCAGAAACATGTCATGTAAGATTAATTATTTCCATCAAGAAAATACTTGATTATCTTCCTCTTCGATTAGGAGAGTATTGCTTTCATCCATGGAAGCCTCAAGATGATTACGTAATAGGTAAAGGATAGCATGTTTGTGTTTAGTTAGTATTCAGGATAAAAAGTCAATTCAAAAATATTTTATTTTTTAAAATTTGAAAGGGGCTGTAAATATGAATTCAGATTTTTTTGAGATTATTTGTGAAATTATTAATTAGTTAATGTAGGACCTGAAAAAAATCAGAACATTCCGAGATGATGGTTGAAGGTAATTTAGAGGGTGTGAGATTATTTCTTGAACAATTATGTGGCAATAATATTAAGGTAAGAGACCTGTGAAAAATCTAATTTTGTGGGAAGCATGAATGAGGATGCTCTGAGGTCCCTAAGATTTAAAGCTGCAAATAATAATTTATCTCACTATTCTTTCCATTTTTGTTACGGTTGTTAGGAATGAACAATATATGGGTCAGAGATTTGGGTAGTCCTGCATATTGTTTTCTTTTGGGGTATTTTAATAAATACTATGCGTTATCTTTTTTAAGAATTGGAGATCAAGACTCCCACCAGCAATTCACCGGGCATTTTGCTCTTGCAATGGATTATTCGAGTACAGGAGTTTCGACATCCACGGAGACCGATCCAGGTATTCACCTTTCTTTGCCTTATTATTCTCAGGATGCCGCGACCAAGGGTTCCTGATGTGACTACTAGCCATTAATATTATACTTCCTCAGTCCCTTAAAACTTTGCCAACTTTCCTTTTTTGGATGTCCCACTAACTTTGCCACTTTCCCTTTTAAGTAAAGAATTTGTGGTTCCAGTTAATTCTCTCTCCTCTGCACAAACCTCGACCACACAGTTTTTACTTTATTAATCGTCGTGCCGGTCAAACTTGGCAAAGTTTTAAGGGACGGAGGTAGTATGATATATCATGGATTTCTATGATTCTTATATCTTAGAGAATTAATGTCTTGTGCACATCAATTTCTGTTTAACAGTTTTGAAATTTTCCTACTTTTTTTTGTTCGTGTCGTTCTTTTTATCTTGACCATTGAATATATTCAACTATCTCGTTATTCTTATAAACTTTGTAGATGATAAAGATGATGTTTTTCCGCTGGATAAACTATCTTTAGGGCTAACCAAGTTGCATGAACTTCCCATTCCTAAAACAGAGTGAGTTATCTTTTGATCACTTCATTGGCCTTTTAGTTTTTCTTTACTATATGGATTTAGAACTCGACTATGGAAGCATCTTGTTATAGGATTTTAGTAGTTAATATGTGTTTTTATTGTTTTTGGACTCAGATATGATCATTAAATCCATGTTTAATATTATTTTTAGATATTAGTTGCACTCCACATTTTCATAGATCTTGTGATAGTTGTAATATTTTTTTTCGATGGAATGTAAGTTTATATTAAAGATCATCCAAATAGTACATATGTACAACAAAAATAGATGGGCAACAATGGAGGCTATCCAGAGATTGGACAACCCCATCACCTCAAAAACTAGAAGCTAAAGCTACGGCCAACACAAAAAATAGGTGATGGGCCGCAAATAAGTTTATCAAAAGACTACCAAATCATGTGGATATTAAGGAAGGAGAGTTAATTAAGGTAATTCATTTGTTCCTAAGTTAAGGAAAAAATTTAATCAGAGATTCGGATGGAAGATTATTTTCTCCCTATCTTCCGCTATTTTCTTTCCCCTACGTTTTCCCCCTTATCCATTTTTTTTAAGTTTCTACCCTTTCTTGACATTACCCCTGACTTTCTACTGATCCACAAACCACTTTGTTTTTCTCTCATTTAACATATGCAACCGGGGTTTGGGGCATCTGGTAATATTATAACGGTGATCATATTTTCTGTGCACTATGTTTTTAGTGTATGTTGTATAAGGAGGAAGATAAATGTTTTTTTGGTGTGTCCTGATGGAGAGATAAAAACAACTAGGGGTGAACAAAAAACCGAAAAACCGAAACCGACCTAAAAACCGCCCGAAACCGAACCGATAAAACCGATTAAATTTGACCGAAATGAAAACCGACAAATTCGGTCGGTGAACCGAACCGACATAAACTTAAACGGGTCGGTCGTCGGTTTTACATATTAGGCATCGGTTATAAACCGACCGACCGAGGAAGTAATATGCGTAGCTATTCTTCCCTTGCTGTTCTTCGCACAATTGTTCTTAGCACGAAACGGTACTGCCCAAGCTATTCATGGTCAGCTCAAGAAAAGATATTTTTGTTTTCAGTGATTTCATTTTCTAATATACCGATATCATTTAGAGATTTTATGTTCTTCCACTGTGATTCGACCGGCTCTTTCCATATGTGGGTTTTGAGTTAGAACTTTGAACAACTTAAATTTGTTTAAAGATTCCAGGTAATTTTTTTATGTTCGTGCTTTTAGTGTTTCAAACATTCAAGAATGTTAAGTGAAAGTATTTGACCTTCTTGCCTCCAAAGTGTTCGTCAAAATTCCTATAAGAAAGCAAAGAACTTAGTTTAATAGCTAATTATCTTAATTTTACATTTTTTTATTCTCATAATTCTTCAACCTTGTTGTTGCTCTTTTTTAATGGAAAACTTTGGATAAAATGAAAGAATATATGCAGCCCTTTTGATCATTCAGAACGTAGTATTACTACATGAATCTGCTAAAGAATTTGTTTTTGGGGGTTAGTATAGCTTTTTGAAACTTTTAAAATCTCTAATGATTTGGTGCCATGTATTTTAAGTTATCAACATTGAAGTATTGCTATTTTGCTGGTGTTAGTATACATGTGTATATTGAATGAGCATATCAGGTGGGGAAAAATCCTTACTGAGTCATCTCTGTATTTTGTCAAGCATAGGTGAGTAAACCGAAAACCGACCGAAAACCTACCGAAAAAACCGACTATGAAAACCAACCGACCGAATTCCATTCGGTTCGGTTACCGGTTCTCACTTTTGAAAACCGACCAAAAAAACCCGACCAAAACCGACCGAAACCAACCGAACCGAACCGACGAACACCCCTAAAAAGTAAAAACAACTGCTACAGAGAATGCCAATAGCTTCATTTTGTATAAAAGTGGGCGTGTCTTTTACTTTTTGTGCCTTTTATGACTAGCTTTCTGCAACAATCTCTATCTCTTTGACAGGAATAGAACATATGTAGTTCTCGTATCTACTGGCAGTTTCAACCCTCCTACTTATATGCATTTGCGTTGCTTTGGTAAATGTTTTCTTGACCTTGGTCGTTTTCTAGCTTATTGCATTTTATGGGAAATGAAGCAGTGGCATTTTTGCTCTCTATGCAGAGGGGATTCTCTCTTGCTCAATTATTTTCTTCCCTTCTGCAGTTCTGCTTTAATTTTCAACAGATGACAATTTTTATTTACTGTTGTCTACAACAAACAACAACATTACCCCAGTGCCGCAAAGGCTCCCACCTATGGTGATGAAGGGGCTTGGATGTACGCAGCCCTAGCATGCTTGTCACGGCGGTAAGTCGAGTCGCGGCGCCAGCTGACCGCCATATCGCCTAGGCGACAAGGCGCCCGCCTAGGCGACAAGGCGCCCGCCTAGGCGACAATTAGGCGAGTAGTCGCCTATATGTATATATTATATTATATATATAATTATATATTTACATATATAATTATATATTTAATTATATATTATGTATAATATATTACTAACTAAAACGCATATAACTTAGAATTGAAATCCACAATTAATAATTAAAAACAAGGTTTATTAATGGGAATTAAGATTAAAAATGTATATCTCAAATAAGCAGTGTAAAGATCGAACTACTAATTTATCAAAAATCATCAAGGACTAAATCATCTCTACGGCCTTCATTGCCCTGATCATCATCATCATGAGTAGGAGTGGGTGGTGTTTGGCCATAGTCATCTTCAACATCTTCATCATCATTTGGAAAACTTTCTTCCTCGTTGTTCATGTCTTCATCAATCAACCTTAATGAAGAATTTGAACCACGGCGTCGAGAATAAACTGATTCTCCACGAGAGCTACTAGTCCTAGGAAGATTACGACCCTGAAGATTGCTTGATGCACCCACAACTTCATCAACTTGACTCCAAAGAAGATCATCACCGGGATGAACAACGTCATTGCTGACCCATTCATTGTTCCATTGGAAATCTTCATATATTAAAGGGTTGAAGTTTGTTCCTTCTTCACGCCGCTTCTGAAATCTGGTCGCTATCTTCCGATTATATTGAATAAAAACCAAGTCATTCAACCTCTTATGCTCCAACCTGTTTCTTCTTTTTGTATGAATCTAAAATAAAGATTAAAAACATATTTGATAAGTGTTTTGATTTAATTAGTTAAAATCTTGTGTAATTTAAAAATTGTAGTTAATATTCAAAATTGTAAGTCTATTACTTACAAACTCAAAAGTGCTCCAATTACGCTCACAGCCAGAAGAGGTACAACAGAGACCAACTATGCGTTTTGCGAACGATTGCAGCTCAACAGCGAGTCCACCAAAAGCATCCCACCAATCAACTTTAAATTAATCACAAATAAAATATTAATTAATTTTTAATATGTTTAAAGTTTAAACTAATTTTCAAATATATAAAAAGTATCACTTACGAGGACTCTTAGATTTTTGTTGCCTAATCGCGAGTTGCTTTGCAAAACTTGCTCTCAATTTGTCATAATCTGTCGCTTGATCACTTATCTTGGCCTGCAATGTTTCATCAGTGACCATCTTTTCAAGCACATCGTTAAACATTGATCGTTGCCTTGATGCTGATGTGGGATCAGTCTGTTTGAGATCAAAATATTTAGACGGATTTAAAAATAAAGCTGCCCCGTATAATTTGACCTCCATCTGGACTTCCCATCGTGTCTCAATGATCCCAACTAGGCTTCTCAAAACTCTAGCCTTATTTTCAAATGACTCACTGATTTTTTTCTTGGCACAATCCATGGCTAGTGAAAGCTCTGGCATAGCTGGTTGCTCATCAGCATCAACTATCCTCAAGACAACTAAAAGCGGCTGTGAAGCTCGTATGCAGTCTTCCACTGCACTCCAGAATCTAGTAGACAACACAATCTCACTGACCCTCTTTCCTGCTTATGTGGCAGCCAATTTAGATCTACCCCAATCCAGACCGCTAAATTGATTTCTCAATGCTTCTCTGTGTTTATATAGAGATTGCAAAGTGAGAAACGCTGTTGCAAATCTAGTAACTCCAGGTCTTACAAGATCCTTCCCACCCGTCTTTTGTCTCACTGAATGGAGGATTCTCGTGTGCCGATAAATGAAAGTAGTCACACGTCTTGCTTTTTCAATGTGGGGCTTGAACTCGGCTAATTTACCGATATCCTCCAACATCAAATCCAAACAATGTGCAGCGCATGGAGTCCAATAAAGCGTGGGAATCTTGAGCTCGAGAAGTTTTCCCGCAGCCTTATAGTTAGAGCCGTTGTCTGTCACCACTTGCACTACCTTGTCTTTTCCAACTTCTTCAATTTTTTTCTCAAGCAAACCTGCCAGCAATGTTGCATCTTGAGATTCACCTGATGCATCAACCGAGTCTAGGAAAAAAGTGCCTTCTGGACTATTGACAAGGAAATTAATCAAGTGTCGATTCTTTCGGTCAGACCACCCATCAGACATGAGTGTGCACCCGTATTCCTTCCAAGCAAGTTCATGTTTTTCTCTGAGCTTCTCTGTATTTTTCTTTGCTTTTTCAAGAAGTGGTACGCGCAACTCATGATAGCTAGGAGGTTTAAGCCCTGGTCCAAACTGCCCAATCGACTCCACCATGATCTCATAACTCCTGGAGTTTGCTGCATTAAAGGGAATGCCGTTTTCATAAAAAAAATCAGAAATGTGCCTGAAGACCCTCTCTTTCTCCTCCTTGCTTTTTGTGCATTGTTCTAGTGTAGTTTGGGTGGGGCCTTTCGCATGTCTTTCATCAACAACCTCCTCGGGAGTTTTGCGAATGATGGAGGCAATTGATTTGTTTTGTTTGGGCATTTTTGGTGGGACATTAAAGAATTGCGAAGCAGCATTTTTTCTCTTGGTTGCTGTCCCAGAACTCGGTTGAGAAGTTGAAGTATCTATTTGAGTGAAAGGTACTTCAGCATCATCCTCATCGCCGTCATCTTCAATCTGGATCGGTTTACTCCTGGATTTCCTCATTAAATATGCTCGCATCTCCGTCATAAGTTCTGTTGTCGTATGAGGACATTTAGCAACATCTCCATACCCGCCAGCTAGATGTTGTTTTAATCTCTTTATGCCAGAAGACATTTGCTTATTACAATGCCTACATTGGACTATGTCTTTGTTGTTCATGTCTGGCCAAAATCCATGATTCCTCCTGGATCATTAGATTTTGCTCTTCTAGCGGGATCATTAGCTGGATCATACACGGTGTCACCTTCATTGTCCGCCATAACTATTGTGTATAAAAAAAGGTTTAAAATAAAATAATGAAAAATTAACTATCCAACTAACAAATAAGAACTAATACAAACAAAAGGTTGAACTATATGTATACGTAATTAACTAATTGTATATAAAATATTTTTTGAAATAGTTTAATAGTTTATAATTTGATAACATATAATTAATTAATGGTTTAAATATTTCATAGTTTATTATTAAACTAATACGAGCTCAGTATATCTATTATATGTATATTACATATTTACATATAATAAATTAATGGTTTAAATATTTCATACTTTATAAAATATAAATAACTTGAAAAAAAACATATAAATATATAATAAAAAACCACAAATTCACAATCAAATTGCAGTTTTTATTACAAAGAATGAGGAAGTCAATTTGCGGTGCTAAAATTTTATTTTTGTTTCGAACTCCCAAGTGGATGAAAAACGATCACATAGAAAAATATTTGACAGATTAAAATGTTTTTTAAAATGAGTATGTTATTTTTAAAACGAGTATGAGGCAAAGACAGTCTGTAGACTCTGTACTCTGTACCTTATCGGTACAGAAGTTATCTGCTTCTTACAATTTTTTATAGATAAAAATTTCTCATCATAAATATGATTAGATAAGAAATCGTTACTCAACTGGTGGTCGTATGCTTCAACCTTCAACGACGGACAGGGAGGTGGCTATGGCTATGGCTTGACCGGCGACTTCTTCTTCCCTCTGAAGTCAATCGTTGCTTCTGTGATTTGTGAGTTAATCGATGGCTTCGGGCTATGTATTTAATTAGAAGGCCACCGCCTTAACTTAAAACCTTAATTAAATGTGTTTCCTAAAAAAAAAATAAACCTTAATATGCTTTTGGGCCTGCGGACGACTTTCGACTGGGCTAAAATAGGCGGACACAAGTCGAGAAGTTCACGCCAGGACGACGCCTTGGCGACGCCATACGCGACTGGTGAACTTCTGGCGAGTCGATCTCCCAAGTCGATGCCTCTTCATCGCCGCGACGCCTAGTCGGCGCCTAGGCGACGCCTAGTCGACGCCGTGACAACCTTGAGCCCTACCCATGATGAAAATTGCGTCGAAAATTGCATGGACTGCTGCTCCATAACAAAGAAGCGCTGACAATTTAGTGAGCAATTTTGCTTTATTCCATCATATTCCCAAGCCAAAAATGATAGAACAACACAGAATAGCCAGAACTCTACACTATAATAGAATCAAGAAAACTGGAAGTTTATTCGCAATGTTTTCGCAGGAATGAAAAATACAGAGATGAACAATTCTGGGCACTTAACTGGTTTCTGGTAAATTTGCAATGTTTCCGCAGAATCATGAAACTCCTGTAGAATAGAATAGAAGTGATCCTGGGAGAATTTTTCGGTATCACTAGTCTATCATTGTAGTATAGTAACCCTTTTCTGAGTGTGAATCTGATAGGGACCCGGACACTCCTTAATAAGAATAATACCAAGTCTATTAGTATTGTATAGTAAAAGGGTCCTAGGCCCAATAACTTGGGGCTGAGGGCTGGCCCTTTAGGATAGTATTATAATGATGTGCGGGTAAGGAGCAAAGAGGAGGACTGGGAACTGGGAGTGCGAGACTATTCAAAGTGTCTCACTTGTATTTTCCGTTTCTGTTTCTTCTCTTTCTTGTAAGCTAGGTTTCGGTTTCTTACATTGTATTTGCTTTAGGAATTCATAGGCTTTCTCTGTTTTCCCTACTTAATAGTTAATATACATAAACTGTCGGGTCTCTATCATTTGTATCAGAGCACCTTCTTGGAATACCTGTGAATGACCTGGACGAGAGCTAGAATGGAGCAACGAGTTGAATCGGTGGAGAATAGTGTTCAGGATCTGTGGACGGTGGTTGACGAAGTGCGGAACTGGATGCTGAACTTGGACCATCGGATGTGTGAAGATGGATGAATTGCGGAATTTGGTAACACACCAGAAGCAACATCGGTCGTGACTCGTGAGGAAGATTACGAACACCAAGGAGAAAGGAACATGACACAAGTCAGAAGTCCTCAGCCAAAGGAGGTAATTCTGATCGATCTCAATCCTCGCATTCCAGACGTGAGAATTTGGATAATAATGTGTCATTGAAAACCGGTAGGAAGATAGAATTACCAATATTCAGTGGTGATGAAGCATATGTTGGATTATTAGGGATGAAAGGTTTTTTAAACTGAACAATATCATTGATGAGGACCGAGTTCCAGTTGCCATTGTAGCGATGGAAGGCCGAGCACTGAACTGGTTCCAGTGGTAGGAGAAACAAGCAACTGAGCTCAGTTGGGAAGAGTTTAAGGAAGCTTGATCTGTCAGTTTCAGCCGGAATAGGTGCATAACCCGTTCAGACCCCTGTTGAGTGTTAAACAAACAGAAAGCGTGATGGAATATCGGGAAAACTTTGAATTGGTGGTAGCACCTCAGAGAAATACTAATCCACATATGTTGAAGGGGATATTCTTAAATGGACTGAAGGAGGAATTATGTGCTGAACTTAAACTGTATCCTTCTGGATCTTTATCTGAGCTTATGGACAGGGCCTTGTTGCTGGAAGAGAAGAACAGGGTGTGCAGAGGAGGAGAGTATAAGGAAGAAGACAAAAAGGGCTGGAAGGAATAGGGAGGGACTATGGCCAGGCCCCTGAACTGGGTGGAAGCAGCAAAGGGGAGAACACTATTCAGTCACAGATTGCTATTCAGTCACTGACTCCTGAGAGAACACTTTCAGAGAACAAACTGGAGGAATCACTAAAACCGAATAAGACATGGGAGGGAGGCCACATGTTGACACAAGCGGAGTTAGAAGAAAGAAGTAAAAAGGGCCTATGCTTCAAATGTGGAAACAAATGGAGCAAAAAGCATGCTTGTGGAATGAAACATTATCAATTTGTCTTGATGGAAGAGCCAGAAGAAGAGATCAAGAGAAGGGAACAAGGATCTGCAACCTGAACTGGATGTAGCCGATTATCCGCTAAAACCAAATGCCAGATCAGTTTCTTAGTATCCACCTTGAGGACAAGGTGGTAGTTAAAGGGGGAGTGATGATAGGGACCCGAACACCCCTCCTAATAAGAATAATACTAAGTCTATTAATTAGTATGGTATAATAAAAGGGTCCTAGATCCAATAACTTGGGGCTGAGGCTGGCCCTTTAGGATAGTATTATAATTATAATAATGAGCGGGTAAGGAGAAAAGAGGAGGTGAATTTTGGATCGGACTGGGAACTGGGAGTGCGTACCTCAGTCAGATTCTGTTCCGTACTTTCAAGTCGATTATCCATTTCCGCCGTCCTTGTGAAGGACTCAAGGTCATTCACAGTTCTCCAACTCGATACTTTGGAATGATCGATTCAACACCTCCAAGAGCGAACACTTTGATACCAAATGATAGAACACCACACAATATCCAGAATTCTACACTAGAATAGAATCAAGAAAACTGGAAGTTTATTCACAATGTTTCAGCAGGAATGAAAATACAGAGATGAACAATTTTGGGCAATTTTGAGAGTGCCGGAGCTCTCTAGGGTCTACTTTCTAACTGAATAACAGCCTCCTTTCTTACTCTCCTCTCACCCCTGTTATTTCTTTCTTCTCCCCAACTAACTTCCCACCTGTCTAACTAACTCTTTATTCTACTCCTTCGTGTATACACCTTGCCAAAATCCCTATTGGGATTAATAATAACAGTACTCTGAGTCCTATCAAATAATTAGTGAGTCTTTGGCTCCATTGGAAATGATGGAGTGTTATTTACTGTTGTCTAAACCGAAAAAATAAATAGAAGCTTCCATGCGATTTTACAATTTCAGTTGTTGCCTCTCTAAATGTATACTAATTTAATTGTTTTCCACCCTTGCCCTATATTTTTCCCTAGATGACGATTTTTATTTACTGTTGTGTACTTGACCTAAAACAGAAATAGAAGAAGCTTCCATGTGATATTATAATTTCAGTTGTTGTCTCTCTAAATGTATACTAAATTAATATTTTTTGTATGCTCAGAGCTGGCAAGAGACACATTGAGTTCACAAGGATTCTGCGTCATTGGAGGTTACATGTCACCCGTGAATGATGCGTATAAAAAAAAGGTAAATAAGCATGCAACTAGGCACTCAATGTGTTCATGATTTTTTTTTCTTAACAATTTCCCTATACAACATTTTCATCTGATCCTAGACAGTATAGTGTGTGAAACATATACCAATGAAGATAATTTTGAAGTCAAAGTGTCTGCCTTGATCTGCTTATGTGGTTTTCAAAGAAGGAAATGCTTGTCAATGAGTCAATCATCACCACCGTCAAATTAATTTTTTTGGGTCAATTAAGTGTATAAAGTTAATCACACTATAATTTCATGCCAGAAAAGCAGAGTCAACGTTTACGCCAGATGCCCTTAATGTCACAACCTTCATATGAGATGGCAATGAGTTGAGATAATGTCTATTTTCATGAACATTACATTATTTATATCTCAAAACCAATATGCAAATCATGGAACATGACATAAATAGAAATGAATGTTAAAAGTCGTTTCTTTCTATTCTCGGTGTGTATTACAAATTAGGATGGTGCCATAGTGTGTCCACATTTGTTTTAGTAGGCTCAGTATAATTGTGAATATAGACTATAGACTATAGTCAACATCTTTATCTCAAAGATATACTATGAAGTTGAAGGTCCTTTGTTAACTAACTATATAGTATGCCTGCTTCGATTTTTTTCCTTTGGGATGTTCATCACTAGGCACTAGCCTTTACTTAGGTGTGCTTGGATATACTTTTTCCTCTCTCTCCCCACATTCCGCATCTTTATGTCTGATGGGCCTTGTCAAATGAAGCAAATAACTGATTTTTTTGCCATCATTTTCAAAAGGGTCTTATATCCGCCAAACATCGGATTGCAATGTGTCATCTGGCTTGTAAGAGCTCCGAGTTTGTAATGGTGGATCAGTGGGAGGTGTGTGCAAACCTCTCTCTTTCTCCCCCAAAAGTCTTCACTCTATACAGAATTATATCCCTGTGTGTTTCAGTTACTTCTGTTGTTCATATTGTTCATAGCTTTGAGCTATGTCCTAGGGGGGTTATAGGCAAGTCAGAATACCTATCAGCACACATTGACAGTTTTGTCTAGAATCAAGCTCTCATTACTGAACAGTGGATTGCTATCAGGTACGATCGTGACACTACAGTAAGTTGCTGAGCATAGAATAACTCGATGTGCGACTAATTTATCATGTTATTTTTTAAAAAAACTTATAAAGTGGAGAACTCAATGTGAAACTTGAAAATGAGAAAACTTGATAATAAGATCTGTATTGGTCCATTATCCATCCATTCACATCTCTGGTCTGGTTTGGCGGAGTGCATGTATGTAATGTCCCACATTGAATGTGATAGAGAGTAGAGACCTGGATTTGGGAGCTTAATATTTTAATAAAATGTAATAGTGGGCTGGGCCAAGTAATTGAATAGATTGAGGGAAGCCTCATTTGGAAGGGAATAAATAGAGGGAATGGAAGGGAAGAGGGTAGGCAGAAATTGGGATAGACTTGGGAGAGGGGACTGCTCGAAGTGTCTCGTTGAGAGAGGGGACTGCTCGAAGTGTCTCAGTCTGTATTTCCTTTCCGTTTCTGCACGTTTCCTTCTTAATAGACGTCATTCTACTGTTACGATTTTGGAGCTCCTATCATTGGTATCAGAGCAATCGCTCCTGGAGCCAGAATCGATCATCTCAGAACTTCAACCTGAACTTCAACCTGCTGGAAGAATGGAGGAATTCCGTACATCACTGCGTATGGATAATATTGAAAGTCATTTAAAGGAGATGAGAACGATGATGAACGAGTCGCTTGATGGGATGTGCGACAGGTTGCTTCAACTTCGTCGCAGAGGATCCCAAGGTCGATCTAGGACCGTCAGGAGCCGTCGACCCTCGGAGAGTAAGGTTCCAGCATCATCGTTCATCGCTTCTCATGGTTCGCAGTCACGAACGACTTCCCCTTGTTCGCACTCGCGAACCGACTCTTCCAGATCGCAATCGCGAATCGCGTATCCCAGTACTTCAGTTTCGTCACAAGCAGATGCTCTCTGTTCTCAGGTGTCCTCATCCGCTATTAGTTCACAGGACAAGGCTTCTTCGTTATCAGTTTGTTCTCAGGTTTCCTCGCAAGTTGTTTCTCTGAAGCTACTTCTGGAGAGCTTAAGGGTGAAGGTACCAATCAACGAAGCACTGAAGCACTTCCACCTAGCCTGAACTTCTTAGCCTTCACTGGTGATTGCAGTGAGGGCAGAATCCTTAACGCAGCACATGGTGATATTGGTGGTCATGAAGGAAACAGCATTTACCATTGGTATCTTCAGGAGCGTGAAAATGAATCTGATTTACAAATACCAGAAGCATCGGGTCTTCTTCAAAATCACTTAGCTAAGGATGCTATTGGTAAACTTCTATCATTTAAATGCACTCTAGTACTGGATGATTGTCAGATTGGTGAGTCAAAAGTTGGCGAAGGCCAAAAAAGTGGTCGTCCAGGAACTCAAAGATTGCTTCCCTTACAAGTAGTTGATAATCTTGATATCCCTTCAGATTCTTCCTATTTACTTTCACTGGCTGATGTTGGCTATTTCATATCTGTATCTGGTGAACCTTTTTGTCGTGATTGGGCTCGGGGTGCTCTTGTTCTTTCACAGCAAGTTCTACCTATCTTTCCAGGGCTACCAAATTGAGGAAGGTGACAAGGTAGAAGCATCTGTTGTCGCTATGGAAGAACAGGCCCTCAACTGGTTCCAGTGGTGGGAGACCCAAACGGAGGAGCGGAACTGGGAAGCTTTGAAGGAAGCCATTATAGGCAGATTTCAACCAGATTTGATCCAAAACCCTTATGGACCAATGCTGAGTCTTAAACAACGGGGTACTGTGAAGCAATACAGAGAAGAGTTTGAGATGGTTATTGCTCCGCAAAGAAATTTTGACAGGGATATACTGAGGGGAATTTTCATTAATGGGCTTAAGCCGGAGATTAAGTCTGAACTGAAACTATTCAATTCCAGGTCCCTGGCTGAAATTATGGATACATCACTGTTGATTGAGACCAGGAATGAGGCCCTCTATATTCAGAATAAGGAGGAAGATAAATCAAACTGGAAGGATAAGGGACCTATCACTTATAAACCAGCAGTTTGGGGAGAAGGATACAAGTCTAAATCTGGTAATTCATGGCCCAGTACAAGTGGGAAGAATGCTGCAGAAAACAAGAGTAACCCATCTTGGTTTACTCCTGAGGGAAAGAAGGAGACTGAAATAAATCCCTCAGACATCAGGAGGGTGGGGCCACAACTGTCACAAGAAGAATATCTGGACAGGAGCAGGAAGGGACTTTGTTTTAAGTGTGGAGAAAAATGGAGCAAAGAACACTCTTGCAAATTAAAGAATTATAAACTCATACTGGTGGAAGATTCTGATAATGAGGAAGACATAGAAGGTGCAGAGGTGGAAATTAAAGCTGAAGAAGGAACTACCATGGAATTTAAGTCCATGCAGCTTTCTGTTATGAGTAAGGAAGGGATACCTTCTTTGAGGACTTTCAATGTCAATGGGAGTTTAGAATGGGCTGAAGGAAAGGCAGAGGTTGCTGTACTCATTGACTGTGGGGCTACCCACAACTTCATTTCCCAAAACCTGGTGAAGCAACTTGAACTACCTTATACTACCACCCCGGGGTACAAGGTTCAAATTAGGAATGGAGAGAAGGTTTCCAACAATGGTCGATGTGAGAATCTGACTTTGTGTATGCAGGGTACTAACATAAAGCAAAAGTTCTATATGTTAAATTTAGAAGGAACTGATTTAGTGTTGGGCATGGAGTGGCTGACTACTTTGGGGGATGTGGAGATAAACTTTCAGAAGCAGAGTGTTAAATGGAAGGTTCAGGGGGCAGATCAGCAGATTCAAGGGGATCCACACTTGAATTCCATGGAGATATCACTGAAAACCATGACTCAGATTCTGCAGGACACTGGTGTGGGTTATTTTATGTTTTGTGAAGGACAATCTGTGAAGGAAAAGGGTGTGGCTTGTGCTGGAAGTCCGGAAAACAATCTGGGGGCTTTGACAAAATCTTGGGTGCAGGATGATCCACAGTTTATTGCAATTGAAGAGTACATGTTCAACCAATGTGATGCAAAGCTGGAGGTGACAGTAAGAAAAGTGCAGTTAAGTTGGGGAAGAAAATCTTGAAACCTGGTTATGAAACTGACCAACTGTGGAAATTTTACATTGAAGATAAGAATTCCTGTTTCATACTGAAGATAACAACTGCTGACATGTATGTGATACCAAAAGATTTGGTATTAAAATTCCTAGTCCAGCAAGTACTCAAGTACTGGGAGGGGAGAAGTGCAAAATTGAAGTGCAAGTGGGAGATCAAGGCTGACTCCTATCACCCACCTTGAGGACAAGGTGGTTGTTTAGGGGGGGAGTATTGATAGGAATAAATAATGATTGGGCCTATTCATTAAATAATTAGTGGGCCTATTCTTTAAAGAGTATAATAGAAAGGATAAGAAGTCTATTATTAGTTAATAGTTCATTTTATCCCTGCGTGGATATGGACTATAAATAGAAGGGGAGTCGGCTAAAATAGGTAGGCTGTTATTGAATTGGCATTTAGGCTTGGAGAGTGTGCTTCTCGAACAGTCCCAAGGCTTTGTTTACGTTCGGTGATTTCATCTTGTTCAATAACCTAGATCTGTTGCTATTTGCTTGATTAATTCCAGTGATCTATCATGGACATAGTTGTGTATTGGATGCTTGTCAACAACCTCATTCACGGTTATCCAGTGGCTAACTCCAAACTGAGTGTGATTTCTAGTAAAGCACTTGGAACTGTAGGAGCTACAATCCTTTACGATGACCAACTTCCCTATCAGTTCATGAGTGCAGAGGGGCTTCTGCAAGTGAGATGTTGGAATGGTGTACATTATGGGGTTTATGTGTTTGAAGCACACTTGACCTTCATATTATGGAACCATTGCTACTGGTTGCTTGAAGAGGAGCAGTCAAACATTGTTCTAGTTCACGACAGGGAAGTAAAGGGTAGCAGGAAAAAGACATGTGAACAGCTCGGATGTGGGCATTACACTTGATTATGAAGAAGCTAAAACAACTGTGCACAATCAACTATCAACTTTTGGGATGCACTCTTTTACTGAGTTTCTAGCAATTATGAACCTTAAGGGTGAAGATGAACTTTCTGTTCCTTATTATCCAAGCTACATCTCAATTGCTCATCAAGGCCATTTTCCGGCTGTTTCTGAAAGGAGTACTGTAACTTTTGGATATGTACCATTTCAAAATTCACTTTCCGCATCTCAGCCTGTTGCAATGAGTAAGAGGAATGGGCAAGTGAGTGCTATGATTGGTTTCACAAAGGCCCTAGAAGAATGGGGGGCACCTAAGGGTGAATCAGTCAAACTACCAAAGTGGTTTGTGGATCCGAAGGCTGAACAGACCCCATGTAATGATCTGGATTGGGAGCTGAAAGTGGTTCCCGAGATTGGTGGCAGAATAATATCCTTGGAGCATCTTCCTACTGGAACTCAGTGGCTTTACATCCGAGTAGATATAAATGACGATGCAGCATATAGTGGATATGGGTACAGATCTGCTGGATGCATGGAAGAGTATTATGTCATTGAAAAGGATCAAGAGCATGCAGGAGGAGTCAAGTCTTTTGCATTACAAGGAAATAAGGAAGTTTTGGTTCAATGGAGACAACTATCAGAATTAGAAGATTTTTGGGAAGGTTTCAGCAAATGCCAGGAAGAATGGATGACAAAGATTCAAGTACCGAAGCTAAAGGCACTGAAATCGGGGAGATACTGGGAAGGAAGGGGCACGAGGATGAAGCTGGATGGCATGGCTAATCTTACTTCCCCCACCTTGAGGACAAGGTGGTTGTCAAAGGGGCAAGTGATGATAGAGAGTAGAGACCTGGATTTGGGGGCTTAATATTTTAATAAAATGTAATAGTGGGCTGGGCCAAGTAATTAAATAGATTGAGGGAAGCCTCATTTGGAAGGGAATAAATAGAGGGAATGGAAGGGAAGAGGGTAGGCAGAAATTGGGATAGACTTGGGAGAGAAGACTGCTTGAAGTGTCTTGTTGGGAGAGGGGACTGCTCGAAGTGTGTCAGTCTATTTCCTTTCTGTTTCTGCACGTTTCCTTCTTAATAGACGTCATTCTACTGTTACGATTTTGGAGCTTCTATCAGAATGTTTACTGAGTTCAAGTGTAATAATGAGTATGCCTTACCTCTTGTTTTTTTGGTGGTGAGATAGGATCAATTCAACCACCACATTTATCATCATTATTAATTTCATTTTCAACATCATCATCATCACGCTACTACTGATCGACCTTACTGTCTTCCGCAGATTCCCTCAAGGTTATGCTCGTATGTGGGTCGGATTTGCTAAAATCTTTTAGCACTCCAGGAGTTTGGATACCTGAGCATGTAATGTTCACCTTGACACATCAAGCATTAGCAGTACCAGACAAAAGAACATAAAATTTATCTATTAAATTTTCAGGTCAGGACAATATGTAGAGACTTTGGATTGGTTTGTGTTCGAAGAGATAGTCAGGATGTTGATAAGATTATTACTGATGATGACATCTTAAATGCGTACAAGGTATGGTTTTCTTATATGCTTTTAAAGCTGCACTTGGTAAGTGGTTCGTTTATGGGCATTTTAATGATCTTTATTAACTGCAACCTATAATGGGCGTGAAATGTTCCTTGTAAAGTGTTTTGCAGTTTATATATGATTCCTATTAATACTGTCATTCAATTTAGTCTTAAAAACAAAATCATCATGTTTTGAATGGAAAAAGAAAATTAAAACACTCCCCCCTTAACTCTTTTATTTAACCGTTTCATCCTCTGTTGTGAGGAAATAAGATTGTTGGATTTCCTTTGTTTATGAAGCTTGTTTCGATATCCATTGCCCATGTTTTGTGGCATTACCCGGTCACCAAAAAAGAAAAGAAAAAAGGCAGCCTGGTGCACAAAGGCGAGTGTCCGGGGAAGAGGGTCCTCCCACCATCCTACCACAAGTGTGTACAAGGGGAAAGTTTTCCCCCGAGGCTGCTCCCTAGACTTGAACCCATGAGCTCTCGATCACACCACACCTTAACCTGTGTGACAAGGCTCCCCTTATGGCATCACTCGGTCACCCCGAGGATTTAATTGGATGGAGGGTTTTTGGGGCATTGTGAAGGGAAGACTTTGGATTCCGTAGTCTATATCTTAATACTGAGTTTGTATTTGTTTGTTTATTAAATTGAAAGATTCACATGACATTTATCATTTAACATTTCAACTGCCTTTGATTTGTTTTAGGAACGCTCTATTTATCAAGTCTTCTCCTCCAAAACCTTCTGTCCAAACAGACCCTATGAGGTTCACATACGCTGCATTAAAAAAGTGTCCAAAGAAAGAAAATAATAAAAAATACGTAGAGGTCAAGAGAAGTTAAGCACCTAGATGGGTGTAGGCCGAACATTTGTTACCTGAGCATGATTGAATTTATACTATTTTGCAGGCCAATATCAAAATCGTAGATGAGGTAGTGCCGAACGGTGTCAGTTCTACAGGGTTGAGGTAAAGCTAATCTGACATCTCTAGCTATTTTTGCTGGATACTGCAGACTTTTTAACATTTTTCTTTTCATCTGTTTTTTTGTGTGTTTTCAATGTCAGGGATTGCATCTTGAAGAGGTTGTCAATAAAATATTTGACTGCAGATGAGGTGATTGGCTATATAGAGAAGCACAATCTCTACCATGTCCAAATTTGAGTTGATTCTTCTGGAAACTCACTGAGATGAGGCGTCTTGCTCTATATTGCAGTGTGAGCTGGGGAAAAATAATACCATCTATGTTCCATATTATTGTTCCCATTCTCTAAATCTCCAATTATATATATATAGAATATTTATCATATCCAAAATTTGTTTTTGCGGTCTTGTAGAGCTTTTAGTGTATTTATAATACATGCAAACATCAATTACTAATAATAAAATGAATCCTCAAACAAATCCCATAATCATGCTAAAACTAAGATGGGCGGAAGGAATGTAATACAAGAGTTCACGTTGGAAACACAAATGCAAATAGAATTATTCATCATTCACTTGAGAAAATGAGTTACTTGTGAGTTGTGATCATTTCATATTCTTTTGTGTAGCAAACTTGCAAGTTGCAACCCCCAAATCCCAATACCTGATTTTGATTGAATTATGAATTTAACAACGTTTTCTGACTTCCTGGTGACTTTTAGAATCTCAAGCAGTATTTCCTCATTGCCAGTTAGGTCACTTTGGTGTAGGGAATTAGGGGTGATGGGATGAACATTTGGTTGGTTGGTCGGTCCAAGTATCTTACTAAAAAATCAACTTTAACGACCACTGAACAACTGGTGTGTGGCTTCGGTTTGTGATTGATTAACTAACCAAATGACATATTTGATCGCTATAGCCTCTAGATTTTAGAAGAATTTATAAATATGCAAACTCCTGATGGATACATCAAACTACTCAAAGTGATCAAACACTCGAACCCCATACCCTATCCATTGAAAAACATATTTACATTTCAGGCCACAAGATTAAAGAAAGCTTTAAGAAATCGTAAGTTTTACCAGATTGAATAACAAAATACTACGAAACTGATTGGGGAAAGGGGTATTGGTATGTCATTGGTCACATATGCGTGCGGGACTTAAGTCTAAAACAAGTTGTTCAGCGCTTCCACATTCTAATTGGTTTGGATAGGCATGTAATTGGGTCGATTCGGTACCGCTTTTGGGCCGAGGCCGCCTATTGGATTTGGGATCGAATTTGGGATCGGGATCAGCCGGTTCAGTCCCAAAACAGGTAACTTTAGATTGTGTACCAAAATCCATCTTACAGCGCTGGTCCTAAACCTAGTATGAAAAATGGACTCAGTCCGGGTCCAAACAGTATTGGACCCAATATTGGATCAGCCCGGATTGTTGGATCGGGTTCATGCCTAATTTAAGATAATAGATTTCATTGGGTTTGTACAAACTATTTTTTTTTTCTATTTTAACATTTGTTATACTAAATGCCAACAAATTTGATTGGCTAGAGTTTCGAACTCGTGGGTCATAACCTCCTCTTTGGATGTGTCACAGTGTGTCTTTAAAGCACAAGGTATTTGGCTACAATCTAATATTGTTGATGCATTATAATGTATTACTATATTTATAGATTTATTTATAATCTAATGATCTAATTGAATAGATAAATTTATTTTAAGACGGATTAAATACCCATTAATTATTTTTACTAACGATTTTTACTTTAAAATAAGTAGAAGGGCGGTGGGAACAAGAATTGACAGGGCCGTAGCAATAAATGCAAGAATATTGACTTTCATTATCTCATTGTTTTTTTACTTCGCAATAACTTAGGATTAAATACCATATAAAAACTTCTATCATGCCTCTTATGAAGATATACTTGGAAAATCAATTCAAAAACTAGTTAACCTAAAACTCGTGAAGTCAATCTAGAAACTTAGAGTGTGTTTAATAACACTGAAATTGGTTGAATCGGAGATATCTCCTGAAATTTATGAAGTTTTGGCTGAATCGATTGAATCAGATGAATAATGGAAAAATCACATTTAATTTAAAGTATCTTTAAATAATAAAATAAAGAAAAACTATATGAGAAATTGCTAAAATCACCCTCCAGAATAACTTCAGCCAATTCTGCATAAAAGTATCTGTAATCTTGTTTATTTTGATTATTACACAATTCATCTTAGAAATAAAAAAATATGTGTTTGATAAAAATGTTGGCCGATGGGACTGGTAACGAGGGCCTGGAGATGGGTTCTTAATTGTGTGACGGGGGATTGTAATTACCCCTCTGTCCCTTAAAGAACTTCTTGCTTTTTTTCCGGATGACTCTAAATAAAGTATTCTTAGTATATTTCCTAAAGAAATTCATGTTCAACCTATTCCATAAAACTTGTCCAAATTTAACTTACACATGAGATAATAAAATAAAAGTCCTCTTATAATACTCTGTAATGTATAGAATAGAGAGAAATAACTTTAACCACATCTTCATTTTTTAAAATGGAAATGATAAAGTTTTAGTTGATTACTAAATAAAGAAGTTTGGTAAAGTTTTATAAAAAGGGAAGTATCAATTGACTCTACCACCCTTGAGTAATTGAGATTATACAGCGACTCACAATTATATAGTGTACTCTATAATAAAGCTTATCATTACTTAAAAAGCATTTCAGAAAATCAAAGGAAAAATTCATATCTTTAAATTATTGTCATTAAAACTAGGAAATCGTTTTCTATTTATTTTATCTATTTAATTGATTGGTCATGCATATTAGCGGATAGGCGTAGAACTTTTGCGGTAGGGTTCAGAGTCACAATGAGTCAGCAGAGTTATTAGCGGCAATCTCTTCAACGAGAGAGAAGGAGAGGATAGAGGACATTGTGTACGGTGAAGCGCAGACAATGGCCGTGGAAAAACCAAGTTCCCAGCTAGTAGCAGATTGATGATGGGTTTGACGAAGGTAAGAGTTCGACCAACAATGAAGGATCAATCACAGCGATACTGATGGTCCGGCCTCCTCCAAGACAACTGTTGTGGAATGAACGAGGTGCTAGAGTTCAAAGAATTTATTGTATTAGTTATTGTTATATTCGTTTCAATGTTAGTCTTTTATACGTCGTGTGTAGCTTTTACTTTCAAATATGAATCTTGTGGTTGGGATTGTGTGAGTTTTTAGGCTTCTTTATTTGGGGGAGAAATATTGTGGCTTTTCATACCGTTATATATTGTTTCAAATTTCTTACATGTTCAGCGAAATGTGTTGCTCAAACATGGATGGACCTTTTATGTCGGATCCGAGAGTGGGGGCCTTATAGTTATTGAAAGTCTAGAAGGAGAGATGTTTTGGGGTGTGTGCTGATTATTTCGTTTAAGTTAATAAAGTTTGACAATTTCCTTTAAAAAACTAAGAAATTATTTTAGGATGATGGTAAAATAAATTGTGAATTAGACAAAACATAAGAAAAAACCATTTGTACACACCAACTTTTTGCACACATCTGTGAGCATGCTAGTATTTTGTCTATGAACAAGATTTAAGGATAAAAGAATAACTTACTTACAATCGTGTGCAAAAATATGTAGAAAATGTGTGCTAGAAAAATAATTGAAAACATAAACCCATCAAATTGGACCCACTGCACCCACCCACAAAACTAATCTAATCCAAATTAAAAGGTTTGGAGTTTGGACTTGGGAGTTCTCTCACTCATAATGCTAAACGCTAAACGTCGCACCATAATTACCAACATGATTCGCCAACGCTCAACTCACTTCTAGACATCTCATCCCCTTGCATCCAATCCCTCCCGTTTTCACACCGGATTCTGTTTTGAAAGATTGAATTCACCCTTAAAATCATCTTTGTACTTATTTATGTGGGGATTGCTTTGTGCACCCCAAAAAATACTTGATGTAACATTGATTGATCAAATTACCCTGTTTACTTTTTCTGCTCCGCACACATACAATTAGCAAACGGGATTGTTACCGGTGGACGTAGCTCAACTGGTATGATGGAGTGTCACAAGGGTTAGGTCCCGGGTTCGACTTCCGACAACTGTGATGAGAGGTTACTCAATAGAGGGCCTCTGCAAGTATCGGGGACGGAGCCCCACTCTCTATCTGTCAGATTGTGATTATAGTCCAATTTACATCCGTACATCGTGCTGTCCGGTCGGTGTTGGGGGCCCCTCAGGGATGGCCGGATGGGGTGTCATCCTTTTTTATAGCAAGCTAGAGTGTTTAATTTTTAATCGACTTTACTTAAAATTAGCAACTAGCTAGTTCGGAACATCATGATGTTTGTTTCTACAATTCTATGCCATGATCTTTGAATAGTTCTTTATTGTTTTTAACTCTTTTTGTTGCTAGTTTTTTAAAATTCAATCTGAAAAATAAAAAATAAAAAATAGAAAACTTAAAAATTAAAATTAAAACATAACGTTAAAAAAATGCAAGCCTATGTTGCCTCCTCAGCAACCTCCCAGCACCACCAGCTCCGATCATCGAAAATGCAACATGTGTCATAAATGTCATCCACAATTTTTTAGAAAACTTTGACATTTTTAAAGAGTAAAAATGTATTTTCCATAGAGTTTTTTCAGAGTAAAATTGCAATTTTACACAAATGACATTCTTTAGCCGATCAGAGGTGACGCTGCTGGGCAGTGGCTGAGGCTGTGGCAAAGGCACCCCACATTTGTTAGAGGTGTTGTATTTGTTTTTTTTTTGTTTTTTTACTCCACCCCTCCAGTTTAAAGATTATCATGCAGCTTATGATGTTTGGCTGACCATAAAATTAATCGATCTTTGTCATTAATAAGATTATTTTTATTAAATAAAATTTAAATATTTAGAATACATTAAAAGTTTTACAATGTCACAAAAATAATTTTTTTTAATAAAAGTTAGATATATAAACTAAAACATTAAGAACAATTCACGTTGCTTGGAGAATAGTGATTGAGAACCTTTCAATGGGACGAAGGGAGTTTTATTTTAGTATATTTTTTTAAAAATATTTTAGATTTTTTATGTATCTTTTATTTTTCTAATATTTTTTTTATTTTATTATGAAATAATTACATGTTAATGACTAAAATAAAGAATTACATATTTATGACTAAAATAAAGAATTACATATTTATAACAATGAAATTATAGTTACTTATGTTCAATTTTTAAACTTAAGTTAACATGACGCTAAATTGTAGTAACTATTAAACATATTTTTGTAAATAAGCTTTAGTTTAGTAATATTTCTGTAAAAACTCCTTTTATTACAAATTAAAATATAACTATCTTATTAAATTATGATAAGGGTATAATAAGATGATAGAATATACTTTAATTCTATTTTTGAGAAGACAAATAACATATTTCTATTTGAATATTTCGGGATCAATTAATTAATTTAGCACTAATGCAATGCTTTTTTAATCTAAATTAACAAATAACTACTCCGTAAAAAGTACGGAGTAGTGTAGAAGGGTATCATTGTCTGATTAAGCTGAGATGGAGGC